GAATATATGAATTTTTTTAAAAGGCAGTAAGAGAAAGAGGCACATTAATTGAAAGTAAATACATCACATTGTGATAGCATTTTAGAGTTTGAAAAGGCTCTAGAAGTAGTTTGTTGTGTTGGTTTTCAAATTGAGCTCAAGGTTCTTTTTTGTTTTCTTTTTTTTTTTTTTTCCTAAGATGTGAAACTAGCCATTTGGTTCATTTGCTTTTTAGATGTTGACAATGGTTCACAGGCAGCCAGATAAAGAATGAAGTGTTCTGTGGTGGTGATTGATGAGTTGAGCCATTAACACACCTGCCTGGCAACCTGACACAGCCTATAAACCAACCCCCCACCCCCTTAGAGGACCTTTCTAGTTTAGTCTAACTGAAACCTTTAACCCATTGAGTAAACTGACAAAAAGGGTTTTGCCTTCTTGTAGGTCACATAAACTCATACAGATCAATAGAACCAGATGCCCAGCAGGAGAATGGCAGTTTTTGTCTTCCATTCTGTTGCGCTTTCTGTTAGTCTATTAATGTTTTAGTAAAATACGTACAAATTTATCAACTATTTTAAAAGTTGAGTAGCAGATTCCTCTAACAGTATACTTTCTGGTTTTTTTCTTTCAGAATTTTAATTATTAGTATCTTCTGACAAGTTGATCTATAGATTGTAAAATTTGCAAATCCTTTTTTTTAAAAAAATTATCATGGTAATTATGTATATGTGATTTGTTGAGCAAGAACTGCTTGAAAACCTGTTTTATTTTTATTGCAAACTGTATTAAATACTATGGAATAAAATCTAGCTACATTAGACAACAAAAGCTCCAGAGTAAGGAAAGGCTTGCAGGCCTCAGGAAAACCTTTTTTGAAATGTATTTATTTGAGAGAGACAGAGAAAGAGAAGACATTCGTCCTCTGGCTCAGTCTGCAAATGCCCGCCACACCCGGGCTTGGTTGAGTCTGAAACTGAAAGCCAAAAAAGTAGTTCTGATCCCTCACGTGGGTAGCAGGAACTCCATTACATGAGCCACCCCTCCTGTCTGCCAGGGTCTACACTGGCACAGAGCTGGGACCAGGAGACAATCATTGATTCTCCAGTTTGGGACTAAACACCTACCCTGTCAGGAAAAAACAGAAAGCATACTGATGGACAACAGATTTGTTTCCCTGTTGTCCAGCCCAAAGCAGATGAGAAAATGAGTTAAATAGTTTATTTCAATGAGCTCAGTTTCCATATTCAGATGAGTCGTACCCTAGACAACTGAAGAATCTTGCAAATGTGACTCCAGAGCCTCTGCCAGTGTGTGTCAATCTGCTTTATGAAATTAGGAGTTGGAGAACAAAGTGAGAAGACAAGATATGCAGAGATAACTACAGAAATATCAGTAAGCTGGATACCAGTCTCTTCCAAAGTTTTTAAATATGTTGTGGAAAAATTTTCTCATTTATAACTATGCTTTTTCTTTACTAAAATGTGTTTATTTTGTTTATCTGAAATATGAGATACGGGGGAGAATGTTTCCATCTGCTGGTTCATTTCCCAACTGCCTGCAACTTCTGAGATTTGCCAGACCCAGGATGGATTTCCAAAACTCATTTTGGTCTCCCATGTGAATGACAGCTACTTGAACCATTCTCTTCTGCTTTTCAGGGTGCACATTTGCAGGCAAGTAGAATAGGAAATGGGGTAAAGTCTCAAACCCAGACACTCCCAAATGGCAACTTAACTCCTAGGCCAGGTAGTTATCTCTAGTCCTTACTTTTCATCCCATTATTATTGTTACATTGGTGTTATCTACTGTATTCTCCTGTTTACATATATTGTACACATCTATATACTTTGTTACCATAACAGATTAGTAAATATGCGATATACATCTGTATTCTGTAACTATGTACTGAATTCTAGTAGATATTGTTTGTAGATATAGGATAGTATGTAGTAATAAATACATTAACTCATTTGTTTCTTAATGGAGAAATGTGGACTAACTGAAAATAATATTAGCAAGCTTAAACATTAGATTCACACCTTTACCCAATGTGTATAGATAAGCAGCTGTCAATTTGGAGAAACAATCCCTGGGAAAGTGCTTTGAGATGCCATCATAGGTGCTGACCATGCCACTGGATATGATAGTCTCTATTACACAATAACTCTACATCCCCTTAAATGAAAAGCCACGAACAAAATCAACAACAGGAATAAAAGAAAGAAATTTACAGTGCCAAGGAGTTTAATGACATGCTACTGAATGATTAATGTGTTGCTGAAGAAATGAAAAAGAAAATCAAGAAAATTATGCTATTGCATGACCTATGAGTCAGTGAAGAATTTAATGAGAAAAAAGTGTTTTGAATGAAATGAAACTAAAAAACCCAAAAAATATCAAAATCCATGACATATAATTTTATGTGCAAGCTTTGTATAGTTAGCTTTCATTTGTTGTCAGGAAAGACTTAAGTGTAATAATGGCTGTGTTGTATATAAGACTACTTCAAAAAGCTCTTGAAAATGTATGTTGTGGAGTTGGGTATCACACGTAGTGGCTATGACATTGCTTGGGATGCTCACGTCTCACATCACGGTACCCAACTTCAAGTCTCTGCTCCACTCGACCTTTCTTGCTGTTTTGTGTACCATAGCTTAACAGGGAATGCTTGCACCCACGGGAGAGACCTAGATGGGCTCTTGGCTTCAGCTAGGTTCAGCACCAGCAGTTACAGGCATTTGGAGAGTGAGCCAGCAGCTGCAAAATTTGTTTTACTCTCAATGTCTTTTTTTTTAATTTTATATTTTATTTTATGATACAGTTCCTTTGGCTCTGAAAATTTCAAACCCATTAAGGAATTAAAAATGTGCATTATGAAAAAATTATAGGTTTCAGGATTTTTGGCACCAAAATAAACTTATCCTTATTCTATTTTTCATAAGCTTTTTAAAGTACCCTCTTATAATAAATGTGTATTGTTCAGCTGTTTGCCAAATTGCGCCATTTTCATCCCCATTGAAAGTATGTGTGAGTAATGCTTTTTTTGTTATCTTTGCCAACATTTGTATGCTCAGTTTTCTAGCTATAGATATTCTAACAACTACATGGCATTGTTTCCCGTGGCATTAGTTTTCTTTTATGACTAATAATAATGAAGTATGACCCATTATACTCATTTGTCTTTGTATCTCTTCTTTGCTGAACTGTTTGATCATGTATTTCCTCTGTCGTTTACTGAACTGTTTGATTTATCACTGATTTAAAGGAGAAATGTGTATGGGTGTGTATATATGCATGTATTTTTTTAAACATTTGTTTATTTTTACTGCAAAGTCAGATATACAGAGAGGAGGAGAGACAGAGAGGAAGATCTTCCGTCCAATGAGTCATTCCCCAAGTGAGCACAACAAATATAAGTTCTTTAGCAAATGGATGATTGGTGCAGTTTCTCCAAGCTGTAGCCAACTTTTTCATTGTAACAGTTTCAGAGAACAGGAATTTTTAATTCTGATAAAGCCCAACAAACTTTATTCCTTAGTATTTACCATAGGATAATAATAAAGTTATGCTCAAGGTTGCATGTCAGGATGTTCACCATAGGAAAAATTAAAATAGTCTAATGTGTAACAGCAAAGTTTGGTTTAGTAATTTATGATAATAGTATATAATTTTTTTTACTGTAAAAGGTTGTGACATTAAAGTATGCTGATTGGGTCTTCATTATGGGTCTTCATTGTAGGTTAAGGCACTGCCCTTCCTGGACATCCCACAGTGAAGCATCAGTTCAAGTCCTAGTGTTCTGTTCCAGCTACATGCTATGTGTCTAGGAAAGCAGTGCAAGATGGTCCAAGTGATTTGATCCCTGCCACCCATGTGGAAGACCCACATGGAATTTCTGGCTCTTGACTAATCCAGCCATGGCTGGTTCTGACCATCTGAGAGGTGAACCAGTGGGCAAATGATCTCTATTTCTGTCTTCTCTCTAACTCTGCATTTATTATTCTTTTAAAAAAAGTATATTGATTTAGAAAAACATATGTGATATTATTTAATGGGAAAATTATATAATCTCATTTTATTTCCCAAAACATTATAGTGATTATGTTAAACACTTATTATATTTATAATAATTTTTTAAAGCATAAAACATTTTTCATCCAGATTTAGGAATAATATCTTGATGATAACTTGCTACTTTAAATTAAAATATTTTATCTTATTTTTAAATTTATGTATATGAAAGGCAGAATGATAGAGAGAGGGGGAAGAGAGAGATAAAGTGTGTGTGTCTGTGTGTGTAAAAGCGGGACAGAGAAATCTTGTATCTGCTGGTTTATGTCCCCAAATGTCTGCAACAGCCAGAGCTGGCCATGCCGAAGTCAGGTGCCAGGAACTCCATCCTGGTCTCCCACAAACATGACAGAGACCTAAGTATTTTCCTCATCACCTGCTGCATCTTAGAAGGGTAACAGTAGCTGGGTCAGAAACTGGGAATCAGGCTCACATCATGTACTCTGTTACAGTATGGACGTGCCACAAAACTCTCCCTGAAGGAAAGCATCTCAATTTAAACGTTCATACATTCCATTGAACACATTTGAAGACTATAGAAATGGCTGCTTTTTTTTTTCTTTTTTGCTAGAATGTGCTTTAGGAGGCACCCTGTACACCTTAATCAATGCAGTGTTATTTTACCTGCCTGGATATCAGATTATATATCCTAGCAGTGATTGCCAAAAGCCTGTTGTTTCCCGTAATATCCTTTGGCTGTCTTTTGCTTCCAGCTTAAATGACTGTATGTGCTTCTGACAGATGCTAAAGAATTTGTTTACAGTCATTATGAAAAAAGAATGATAAATTAGGTGCCTTATTAAATTGTTGGTAACTTTATTTCATAGCCTGATTTGTATGTCCTATACAATACCATCAAAAATAACATTTCATCACTGCCAAGTGCCGTGTTTTGGTATTCGATTTTTCAAAAATGCTCTTTCTTTTGAATATGTTTGAACACATAGGAACTATCAAAAAACCTTGAGCTAAGTACTAACAGTTTCCAGCGACAGTTGCTTGCTGAAAGGAAAAGGGCATATGAAGCTCATGATGAAAATAAAGTTCTTCAAAAGGAAGTACAACGACTCTATCATAAATTGAAGGTAAGCGCTTTCTTTAAATTTTGTTGTCTTTCCTTTTATACATATATATATAAAGAGTAAAAATATATATGAATATGAAGATTTCTTTCTTTCACAGATGCTTACAGAGAGTGCTGTTCCATCTGGTGGTTCATTTCTCAAATAGCCACAACAGGCAACATTAGTCTAGGCATAAACCAGAAGTCAGGAACTCCATTGACTTCTTCCATGTGGGTGGTAGAGTCTCAAGCACTTGGGCCATCTTCCAGTGCTTTCTCAGGCACGTTAGCAGGGAGCTGGGTCAACAGTGGAGCAGCCGGACCTTAACTGGCACCCATGTGCGATGCCAATGTTACAGGCTGTGGTTTAATCCCCTGTGTCACAATGTCAGCTCTGAAAACTAAATATTTTAAAAGATTAACTTTTATTCATATTTTAAGTATTATATGGTCAACTAATCCCATGTCCTTCCACAGGTTTTCCCTTTGTATATTTTTAAAGTTGTTTCAAATGATACCCTTCATTTTCACAGTGTGTAGAGAATGTGCTCAATTCAAAGCATTTAATTTTGTTAATGCAGGTGTTCATTTTTATAGTAGTCTTTGCTGGATTTAAATTTTGTGTAAAATAGTGCCAAACTATGCATTGTCTCACATAGTTTTTTCATTGTGGTTAATCAAATTCTCAGAAAGAAAAGAAAAAAGAGAGAAAAAGAAGGAAATCCATATCCACCTAAAAAACAAAAGCAAAAACAAAAAACCAAGAAAAGCTATGTTTAAAAAGAATAATCTCAGTTTTTACTCATCTCATTTTTACTGCCTAGATATCCATGATGGTTCACTTTCCAAATGTCTGCAACAGCCCCCACTGGGCAGGGTTGTAGTTGGGAGCCAATAATTTAATCCAGTTCTCTTACATGCATAGGTGGCAGGAACCCAACTTCTCGACCTGGGAGTTGAACTCAGACACTCAGATGTAGGATATGGGTATTTCAACTGGTATATTATCTACTAAGCTAACACTCACCCTGTTTGGATGTTGGGAAAATTGTTCTCCCCTAACCTAAAGGTACTAAAGATATTTCCCTTCTCTAATTTGCTATTTAAAAGGGATGCTGAACCAAGTGTATTCCAGCTTGGTAAGAAAAATACTAGATGATAAATTAAGGTTTTAAATATTAGTTCATTATTTACATAAAATGAACAAATGCGTGTATTTTATATACATAATTTTAAAAAATTATTTAAATTTTATAAACAAATTTCCTAAATTTCACAACATAGACTAATGAGCACAATGATAATTCCCATGCTACTCACCCACCAATCCATGTTCCCCACCTATCCTCCTCCTCCTTTGTCATTTAATTTTTGCAATGACATATTTAGCTCGTTTCACAGTCACAGGCTTAGCACTCCATTCTATATAAAGTTTTAAGAACATAATAATGGTACTTCTCACCCCTCTTCACTCATTCCCTCCTACTCTTCCACCACCTTCTTAATTTTCTTTGAAGTTTTGCAATGACATGCTTTCAATTTTTTTATAATCACAATCTTAACCTTCCACTAAATAATTCAACAATAAATAGAAAGATCAAAGTTCCTCAGTAATATAGAGAACGGTTATAAATAATAATCAAATCTCAAGATACCAATTTCAGTCATGAACATCATATGAATATTTTTGCACTCTCTGTATTAATTATGGCAAATCAGAGAAAACTAAGACTCTGCTTCCCTAATTGTTTTGGGTTTGCTTTTAGGAAAAAGAGAGAGAACTGGATATTAAAAACATATATTCTAATCGTCTGCCAAAGTCCTCTCCAAAGAAGGAAAAAGAACTTGCATCAAGAAAAAATGGTAGGGTTGTTACGGCTATTAAGACATGGATAGAGTAGCTATTACTTGTTAATAATAAAACAATTTTCAGTTCAAAGAAGGGAAAGAACTTCATTGAAATATATTGAAATTAAGTATATGGTTGCATCATTTAGTCTCTTTATAGTTAAATTTTAGAAATCTGTTCAAATCTCTTAGTTCTTCCCTTGCCAAGAAGAGAGAATTCATTAAATTGTGCTTTACTTTTTTGAAGTTTTCTAATTGAAAATTTCAAAATTTCTATACAGATGTGCAAGCATACCCTAAAATAGAGAATAGTATAAGGAACTTTTCTTGTGTATCACCTAGCTTTAACAGTTACAGTCTTTATCATTTTTATTTCATCTATTTTTCTGGGTTTTTTTCTAGAATATTTTAAGACAACCCATTTGTTATTTCATTTCACTCATAAATATGTAATGTTATGAATAGTTTTTTGCTGTCTTAGAAAAGATAAATTTCTTCTGTATTTTGCAAACATTTTAAAATATATACTTTCTAAAATCTTATGAGCATTTATTGTCAAAATTGGCCCCAGATTAAACAACCCTAGAAGCAGCAATAGTAATCATTGAGCTCAGTAAAAATGAACATCATGTCAGTTAGTGAGTAGATATGAGTTGAATTGTAATTAGCATTGGTCATTGGAAGTAGGAAAAATCTTTTGTGCTTTTCATTATAGCTGCCTGCCAGAGTGATTTTGCAGATCTGTGCACAAAAGGAGTACAAACCATTGAGGACTTTGAGCTGGAAGACTTTTCTATAACCCCACAAACAATTATGTGTTATGAAAATAAATGGGAGGATCCTGAACATCTTCCTTTGGTGAGTTTAGTCATTTGATTGTATGTAATCCGTTTGCAGCTATCCCTAAAAACATTTTAAATTCTCAACAATCCAGCTACTGCTTTTCCTGTTAAATGTTAACTAGCTTTCAAAGAGAGATAGAGAACATCTCTGTTTTGTTAAATTCTTTGGCTTAACTCTGTTTACACTGCATTTTAAAAAAGATTTACTTATTTTTTTAACAGAAACAGATCTTTTTTTTCTCTGATTGATTCACTTAGAAAAGAGACAGTAAGGACAAAAGTGTATTTTGTCCACTAATTCACTTCCCAAATACCCACAACACCTAGGGCTAGGGCAGGCTGAACCAGTGAGCTAGGAGCTGAGGATGCCGATTGGTTCTCCCATGTTTGTGGCAGGAATCCATCCCAGTGCCTGGTCATCATGTAAGCAGGAAGCTGTTGGATGTGGAGCAGCTGGGACTTGATCCCAGTCACTCCAGTGTGTCACTCCAGCTGTCTCACACTCTGGCTTAACATGCTGTGCCACAGTACCTGCTACAGTTCATGCTACATTCCTCAGATGCTTTGAAAAGATTGAATGCCTTAAAGAGAAAAGTTTGCTTTCTGCTTTTCTTACCTTTTATCTATAAACTTGGATAGTCTTAGAAAACCCAGAAGTTATTTCCAACCCTGTGGCACAGGGTGTTAAGCTATCACTTGCAACACTAGCATCTCAAATGGACAGTGGTTTAAGTCCTGGTAGTTCTGCTTCTGTTTCAGCGCCCTATTAATGTGCCCAGAAAAAAACAGGGGAAGATGGCCATAATCCTTGGGCCCCTGTCACCTACCTGGGCGACCTGGGAGAAGCTCCTGAGTTGTGGCTCTGGTTTGACCCAGCCTTGGCCATTGTTACTGTTTGGGGAGTGAACCAGTGAATGAAAGCCCATGTGCTTGCTCTCTTTCTCCCTTTCTCTCCTGTAGCTCTGCCTTTCAAATAAATAATAATTAAAACAAAAGTAAAAATAAACCCTGAGAGCTTTTATGTTTAAAAACAACTTATAGTAGTTTCTTAATGATTTGAATAATTTAACTACATTTAATATTTTTGAAGACTATTTTCTGGGAACTGAATAGAATTAAATTTTTTTGAAAAGTTTTACACTGTAACTGAACACTAAACAGAGTAAATTAACAGTTGAATTCAGGAAGCCTGTGTTGACTGTTCATTCTTTAAAGAGATATCCATGCTGAGTCATCAGAAAGTCCTTTTTTCTAAAAAGATACTCTTGTTTCTTCAGCTTAAGTTCCAAAGGAAGCAAAGTATCAGGCATCCAGCATTTTGTCATACAATGTTGTATTTTTGTACCTTATAAACCTCACAGTGACCTGGAGACAACTTCACAGTATTGTTGACACTAGGTCATGTGACTCATTTCTTTGAAATGATGAAATGTGGATTAGCCAATATTTCCTTAAAAGGACAAAAAACTTCTGGTTTATATTTGAATTTTTTAACAGGAGTAGCAACAGCAGTCTGGTATAGTGGGCAGAGCTTTGCATTTTCGTTAAATTCTGGTTCATTGTTAGTTGTAGTGTGACTTCTTGGGAGTCTCCATTGCTTTATCTATAAAATGGATGTGGCTTACTTTTCAAGTTTGTAGTAATGACTAATCAGAAACTTTATAAAGCTCTAAAGACTGAATTGGCCAGTGTAAAGGACCCCAGCATGTTGTTGCTTCTTTAGACACAGGCTAAATTGATGTTGGAAAAAGCCTCAGTACAGTGGATTCATGAGATACAGCTTTCTTTCTGGTAGGATAGTCTGGGAGTTAATGGGTGGTTCAGGAATGGGGAATAAGGATTGGTAAACAGCTTCGTTTCACTGTAGATCTTACTGATCTTCCATTTTAAAATGCAGTTCTCTTTTGTGTTTTCAAAACTGGTTCACCACCGTTGTGGAACAGAAGAGCAAGGAATAGAGAGCAAGCAACTTTCATTTTGATGTGATCAGATTTGTACACATAATTCACACACTGTTATTCCTATTTGTAGCTGCAAAAGAGGCTAACAAATTTAGTCTCTAGCTGAGTAGCCCAATGCCCTGCTAAGACCCCAGGGTATTCTGTCGCTAAAAGGAATGATGTAGAAAGGGATACTAGGGCACAGTTCACTACCATTCAGTATTTAATAGTAGTGACTGTACATTTATTAAAAGTTATATGCACACTTATTTAAAAGAGTCCATAGGTAACAATGAATTTTAAGTTTGTAACAGTTTATTTGATTTAAATATTTTTTAATATTATTGATTGGAGGCTTTGGGAATAGTATAAACTTGGAAGATTCAATGTAACTGTCATTATCTATGTTATGTAGTTTGGCACCTCAGTTGGCCACCATAGTTGGTTAATAGCCATTAAAATGAACTAAGTAAGTTAGATTTTGTTGTGAAAGTATGTAAAGGAAGAATACTTCTGGACCACAACTCTTCAGAAAATTATTTGAGGTATTATTTTATATTGGTTTTGATATTATTGTAGATGCTTCTTTAAAATTTTAATTATGAAATAGTATGTTTTTGAAACATCTTTAAAAGGATGGTTGTGTTGTACCTCACTGATTTCTTATTTGAAAATTTGCTTTATTTTTAACTGAGTTGGCAGTCATGCCTAGTGAAAGGATGAACGTATGGTGATTTAAGTCCCGTTCCTTTTATATATATATAAATTTGCATTTAAAAAATATATACATAATAGGACCTTGCATCTCAAAAGGAAGATGAGCATGAAGAAGTAGCACTTCTAAGCCCAACTGTGGAAAAAGAAGAAAAATTCCTTAAAGATCAAGGATCCCTTATTGTAAAACAGGAGGCTGAGAAGCTGAAGAATGGTAAGAAAAATTTATTTAAACAACTGATAAGTCGGCATTCCTTAAGAAAGAGACGATTAGTGTGCCTAATTATCTTCCAGTTGAACTGTGAACTGATTCTGCAGAACAAGAAAAGGTTAGTGCAGTGGCAGGGTATGGCATACAAGGAGTCACAAAGAGTTGTATGGAGTTATTAAGAAGAGAAAGAAAAAACAAAGGCTTTAAGTTGTCATTATTTTCAGTTAGGTAAAATAGGCAGGTAATCTTAAAGTTTGGGTGAAGTATAATTCAGCTCAAGGGCGAAAGGATTCTCTGGTGTTACTTGAAGTTTGATGAATAGATAACTGAGAGTATCTCTATTGGTTCTGCCTTGAGGCTCTAGTCCACAGGTTAGCTTACATGTAAAAATCAATGAATGGTGAAATCCTGAATGTATTCGTATAACTTCTTTAGTTTTAATGTGTAAAGTAAATCTTTAATCTGTTCAACCATTAGTATGGAAGATAAGTGATCTCAGAAACTGGAAATGAAATGTAGTAATATTGCATTGCTGACTGGATGTTCTGAAGGTGGGACAACAGGGATTCCAGTCTAATCTTTTCTGAATGCATGCGCTAGTTTGTGTTTAGTAGCTGCTCAGAAGGAATCCTTTTTTTCCTCTCTCTTAAGATGAAGATAATGGGCATAAGCTCACCACTTAGTTATTTCTTAAATTAGTGTATATGTGTGCATGTATGAGTGTGTTTATGCACACGTGTATGTGTTCTCTGTAAGCAGTGTTACTGTCAAGATAGAAGCTGTCTTCGCATCATTGTTAACTAATGTGTGGAATAGGATACTCTCACAGACTAAGTTACAGAATAGAAAATTAGGCATTATGGATAACTGTCTAGATAAAACAGAAATAAAGTAGCAAAAGACTGTCACTTTCTTATCCATTTAACTGATTTTTTTCCCCTAGACGAATTGGAAAGATCTCTGTTATCAGTTAGGATATATGGTAATTATTAAAGTTAACAGTCTTAAATTAGTCATATTTTTAATAAATTTTAATTTGGATATATTTTCAAAATTGCCAAAACTGTAACGAGTATACTGAAATAATTGTTTCAGGGTGAGTTGTAAACCTCATGCTTGTATCCTTAAATATTTCAATGTATATCTCCCCAAAGCAAGGACATTCTCTTATATATTATTTCAGTGTAGGTTTTTAGCTTTTAGAAGTTATATTCAACATGTTTACCTAAGCTGTTGTCTATATTACAATGTTGTTAGTTGACACAATATCGTTTTTTATTTCACTTTCTTTAAGATAATTGTCTTGAATTGCAGTTATTTTCTTATCTCTTTAGTCTCCTTTAATCAGGAGCAATTTCTTGGTTTTTGTTAAGATTTTTAAATTTTTATTTGAAAGGCAGAGTAGTTACAGAGAGAAGGCGAGACAGAGAGAGAGGTCTTCCATCTGCTGATTTACTCCTCAAGTGGCCATAATGACCAGAACTTAGCCGATCTGAAACTAGGAGCCCAGACTCTTCCCTCCAGGACTTTCAAATGGGTGCAGGGGCCAGGGAGTAAAACCATCTTCTGCTGCTTTCCCAGTCCATAAGCAGGAGCTAACTGGAAGTGGAGCAGCCAGGATATGAACCAGTGTCCGCATAACATTTAGGCACCAGTCTTAGACCACTACACCACACCACCAGCCCCAGTTTCTTGGGTGTGTGTGTGTGTGTGTGTGTGTGTGTGAGAGAGAGCGAGAGAGAGAGAGAGAGAGATGGAAAGAAAGAGGGACAGATTTGATGTAGACAGATTACACGCCCATTTTAAAAATAAAATGTTCCTCATTTATAGTTTGGCTGAAATTTTAACTTGATTTAGATTAATTCATCTTTTGTTGGAATATCACATTAGGTGATGTTTTTTCCTCAGGGTATGACATCCAAAGTTTTCGTTTATTTTTAAGATTAAAGTTTTTGCTTCACATTCATTTAGTATATAGCACTATATTATACATCTATATATAGGCATCCATTTTTATAGTTACTATATCTATATTATATATTTATAGATAGCTAGATCTGCAAGAATCTTCTTCGCTATCCCTACCTTGAAGAGTATTTTTGTTCTATAAATATGAATGTTAAATGCAATACACGCCAAAAATGTTATTTTCTAATCCCAGAAAAATAAGTTAGAAATAAAATTGATGATGTACACCCTTACTGTGCTTAAAATGCTCACATTAGATTAAGATGGCTGTTTTGTAAAAGGTGGTAGCTGAATTTTTATGTTTAAAAATATGGACTGCTATAAAATCCTGTTCTAAAAATTTGATTTCATACAGAATGGGACAGAGAAGAACTTGATAAAAGGCAAAAAGCAATGACATCTCTATTGGAGAGGAAAGAAGCACCAGAGTTGGAACCCAGAAGGTACCAAATGGAAATGTACCAGGTTCAGAATATTGATACTCTGGAAGAAGAGGAAGAAGAAAGATTGAAGAGAGAAATGCTACTGGCTAAACTGAATGAAATCAACAGAGAACTCCAAGATTCTAGGAATATGAAAAGTCCTTCTCTTCCATTGCTACCTGACTTAAAATCAAAACTGTACTCTCCAGAGAGAGGCTCCAGACCATCCATGTTCTCTGAATCCTCAGAGAAATTTTTTAATGGACATCGTTTGCAAGATAATAGTTTTTTGACTCCAAAGGAAGAGGGTCAGAATCCAGGAAATGCTAGAAGCCCAGTCTCTCCACAAGGGTTTGCATTTGGTAGCTATGTGCCTTCATTTGCCAAAACACCAGGGAAGTCAAATCCATTTATCCCAAAGAGTAACCTTTTGGATTTCCAAAGAAACAGTATGGAAACCTCTAGTAAAGACAATATAGATTTCATTACAAGAAAGGAGAAGAAAGCTAGTCTGATGGAACAGCTCTTTGGTGCAAGTGGCAGCAGCACCCTTTCCTCTAAAAGCAGTGACCTGAATTCTCTAGCCGCAAGCAAAGGAGACTTTGACCCTTCGAGTTTTCTCCCTGGAGAGAAAAGCAGCAGAGTGAGAGACTATGATGAAGATGAAGACTTTTTCTTCAGTGAAGGGAAAAATTTGAATCCAAATAGACACCGATTAAAACATGCAAACAAACCAGCAGTAAAAGCAGTTGATTCTATAGAAGATGAAATTGAAGAAGTGGCACTGAGATGACTGACTAGAGTATACATTTTTAATTGTAAATATCAAAGTATTTTTTTACTGTATTTATTATAAGCATTTAAGATTTTAGAGAGTCGTACTTAAGAAATTATTTTTGATAGCTAAATGCAGTGCAGTTAGAAAGAAGTAAATGACATCTCTATGCCACAGAGTTTGCCAAGAATTAAGGAGACTAATTTGAATGAAATCAAAACTAGATATACATCTTACTTCTATTTGACCTTAAATGCAGCTTTAACTTCCTAAACCAATTCTATGGGGAATCTTACTTCACTGGAAGTTATATTCATTTCCTACTTTTATCCTTACTTATTTATTTGTTAGTTTTTGAGCATATCCTCACTGAGCTAACTGCAGGAATAATATTAAGGATGAGAAACTTTGAATTCGAAAGTATAAATCCCACATGGTGGAGAACCAGTGCTACTTGGGAAACCTACCCTTTGAGTAAGTCAAGGGTCCCTGTCTGCCGTGGCAAAGCTGAGTTACTCTTCAGAGACAGCAGTGATGATAGCGAAATTTCACACACTCTGGAAGTACCCACAATTAAACATGACTCATTTTCCGATCACCATATATGGAAATCACTTAGGTACAACTCTATTAGCATGTCGGTTTAATTTCAGAAAACATTTCTCTACATGAGTAGTTCTCCTCTGTCTCCCCCTTAAATTTCCTTCCTGTGTAATCCCTCTTCTTTGTTCTTCTACACTCTTTGTAGCTCACTGACTGCATGTAAGATTTCATACCACATACAAGGAGTAGAAGAAATTTTTGTCCTTATAAAAAATGTTTTGACTCAAATTATGTTTACAGAATGATATTCACGTAAAACTTTTAGTGTGTACTTAACAAAAAGACTTGAACTTGGCCACAAACCAAGAAGACAGCAATAGTATATCACTACTTGGCTTGTAAGATTAATTTTAAAGCAAACTGTGTAACGTTGTTTTAGAGATGGAGCTTCTGCCTTGCTGTGTAGGGTACGTAGTTTTCTGTTGAAATGCATTGGTCTTCTTATGGCTGTTTGTACTTCACTTCAGCTGCAAAGAAATTGATGACCTTGGATTGTGCTGAGTGTGACTGACCTTTAAGAAGCAGTAATACACCATCAACCAAGGAGAAAACACTTTTAAAATGAAGAGTGGCGAAAATAGTCTGTGGGAAGAATAAAATTCTTAGATTGGCACTTATCCTACAGTGAACTGTTTTTTTCAAGAGTTTACTATGTAATTGTTCATTGTGTGATTTCTGATGCCAAGCATGCATGCTCATGAGGAAAAGGGTTACTGTTTATTGAATTCTTATGAATGCTTATTGTTGAGTATCATTATATGGCTATTTGATAAGACTCACCTGGTAGGGTCTCTAATTGAAAAATGCACACTTTGTCATCCTTCAAATTGTGTTCCTGTCATTTATTGGGAACATATTCTTTATAAAGTACTAAACTATTGAAATAATTTTTTCCTAAAGAGAGTTTTATATGTGAAATTAAGCACTTACTATGCTATAAATCATTCTAATATATATGAAACACTGTTATTTGTAATGCAGTCCTTGATAAACTATTATGTATTGTTACTTTTGTTTATAGCTGCTAATTTTTCTGCCAAATGTATTCTAGCTTTTGTTTTATTTAAAAGTTTAAACAAATTTTTTAGTAAAGTTTTATATATTCAGGTAATTTAAATCAGTTTCTTGCTGCTTTTTAACCAAAACGGTCTTTTAACCAAATGCGCCAAGATGGAGTTATTAAAACTAAAATTAAGTTGTAGACTTAAATGTATTATGGTGTTAAGCATTACACTTGGAAATTGAAATGAATAGAACAGATTTTTCTTTACAAGCAAAGCTTAGAGGATGGATTTTTTTTTAAATATCAAGTTTCTTTGTACTTAAAACTCTTAATTAATAAAAGTTTAAAAAATCAGTGTGACTATTTGAATGATACCTTAGCTTGCTTAGTAATTACATGACAGAAATGTTGGAACCTACAAGGTTCATTTTTATTCCATTATTCACCTTTGTTTTTTGTTGTCCAGTATTTTTAGTTGAAGTACATGAATTTGCCTTAAATCAGGTTACACAGCATTTTATTCCTCTTAAATAATCAGTTTTAATTAACCCTTTCACCCTTAGCAACTATGGTAATGGCACATGTTGCTTATATTTTTAAAAAGGCAAGAGCAGGCAGAATTCATTTGAATTGTAAAATAAACACAAACTTGTTTCATGACTGACTTCCTGTCTTCCTGATCGTCCTCTCCATCTCATTTTCAGATACACAAAACTAAGTTTTGGGATCATTGATTGGATGTGGCACACAATTCTGCTTGGTGAAAAGGGGAAGGGAAATTTGTATCACAGTGATCATATGGATTTTTTAGGAGTAAAATTATTATAGATTTGCAAAAAACTGCCTTTAAAAATTTTCTCCCAAGCCCAGCGTGGTGGCCTAGTGGCTAAAGTCCTCATCTTGAAAGTGCCAGGATCCCATATGGGCATAGTTCATGTCCTGGTGGCCCCATTTCCCATCCAGCTTCCTGCTTGTGGCCTATGAAAACAGTCAAGCACGGCCCAAAGCCTGGGTACCCTGCACCCACGTGGGAGGCCCGGAAGAAGCTCCGGGCTCTTGGCTTCAATGGATCCACTCAGCTCTAGTCATTGCGCCACTTGGGGAGTTAATCAGCAGATTCAAGATCTTCCTCTCTGTCTCTCCTCTTTTGTATATCTGACTTTCCAATAAAAAAATAAATCTTAAAAGAAAAATTTTCCCTCCTTCTATACAATATAAGGCTTTCTTATTTTAAAGTCCCTTTTTATATCATTAAAAGTACTCTATTTAAGAACATATACACATATGTTGTAAACAGTAAGTACTTTGGCGTTCTGCCCCCATGTGTAGTGCCAGGAGTACAGTGGATGGAGAATCATTTGCATAGAGAGCTCAATGAGCCACCATGTGAGGTTCCGTCTCTTGCCCACCACTCCCAGTGTGTGAGCTCCTTCAGCCTCACTGGTCTTTTACAATACTCCTCACAATGGCTGTGAGTAAATGTGATGCTTGGCAGGGTGCCTGATATATTGTAAGCACTCAGTAAATATTAGCTGCCATTATGTCTAATACCAGTTTTCTTTTAGGAAATCTTTGAAAGAAATGAAGCATGGGTATAAACAGCTAATATGAAATCACTTCAAAAAGGTTTTGGAAAATTGGGTTTAAAAATATGCTTACTTTGGTGCAAAATATTGAAATCTCATGCTTTTTAATAAGCATTTTCCCTGACCTTTATTGAAGAATTCTTTAAATATGTGCATTTTAAATGTTTTTGTGCCAAAATAAGGCTATGTTTTAATTCAATGTTGAATGAACTGTAAAAGAAGATTGTTTGGAGGGACTCAGAGACAGACAGAGATCTCCCGTGAGCTGATTCCCTCACCAAGTGCCTGCAACGTGGGGACTGGACTAGATGGAAGTCAAGAATAGGAACTCAGTTCAGGTTTCCTCCACAGTTACTGGCAGGACCCAAGTAGCTGAGGTTCCCAGGGTGCCAAATAGCAGGTGTCCTGTGAGAATTGAGAATTAGCGTCACAGCAACAGGGACAACATCCCCAAATGGGACTGTATGGTTGCACAAAAAGATTATTCATGTCTCAGTTCTCTCAAGCTACCTGTGTATTCCTGAGTAAGTTACACGTCCTTTCTGCTGTGAGAGAGAGCTAATGAGGATCCCTATGTCATGATGGTTGCATCTATTAAGTTAATACATGAGAATTACATTGATCATGTTGCAGTCAGTGGACTTAAACCCACATCATCTGTCAGCTGGCACTCCCTCCAGAAAAGAGGGGTTGTTCCTACAGCATTGTTAGAAGTCCGACTGTCCCAGTTTATGCTCCACACCTGTTTTTAGGGCTGGAAGCCTTGTGCAGGGACAAAGTGGACTCCTCTACTCTTATCTCTGCTCATAGAATGGACAAATTTCAGTGGAATGGGGAGTCATATTTCCCTGATAAAGGCATTTTGGATATACCAAAATATATTTTCCAATTTAAAATGTAAAAGCTCTTAATGAAAAAAAAACATCAAAAAGCTTTGAATAGAATAAGCATTAGTTACTTATTCAACATTCCTTATTCCTAGGACAAGGCATTTCTGTAATAAAATATAGGTATGGAGAAATATAACCAAATTCGTTAGTTTTTAAATGGTGAACTATCACAGTAGTAGGTCAGACGAGTAAGATATTAACGTCTTCGAGTTCATAGAAAATGTTTGAATATAAATTCCCCCACACTAAATGCTACATTTAAGAAATATATATTCATAAGTGAACATAGCCTGTTTCTTTTTATATGTTTCTGTATTTAATGAAAAAAAAAAAGATGGGCTGCCATGATGGAATAGAAAGAATGATTTTGGGATCAGCAGTTGAGTTTGAGAATGCCACTCAGCAACTACATTTTTATTCAAACACTAACTATCCTTGAGATTCCTCAGATGTGCAACACAGTGGATCATATTTTGCAAGGTTATTGTGATTGGGAGAATCAAGCAAGGTCATGAATTCTGGAAAGAAAGAGAAGTGTTATAATGAGGCATTGTCAGAGGGCATTACTCAACATTAAAAAGTCAAAATTTTGCTTTTTTTTTAAAACAATAGAAGCCTGTCAGCATGGAATTTTAAGTGGTAAATGTGTGTTTTCCTTCCCCATGCTCTGCCACTTGAGATTGAGGTTGCTCTCATGTGTACAGACGAACGCAGAGTTTAGAGATTTTCATAGAAGGCACTTTGCTGCTTCAGTCAGCAAGCAGTCTGTGGGAGAAGCAGTTTGACACACATGGTTTTACTTCACTGACTGTTTCCATGGAGGAATAATAGATACAAATCAGGAGGTCACACTGGTCTGAAGGCAGGGCATTAGAATTCAGCATGAAGCGTTCCAGCCTGCCAGTAGCGCCAGGGGGATGCCCTGAAGAGCATGGCCAAAGGTCACCGTCTTTCTTCTCTCTTTAACTGACCTGAATATCAAACTTCAGATTTCCTGTTCCAGTTGATATTGACCCTGGTTAAACATGCTTTTCATACAATCTGTAAAGGACATCATTGGTATTTTTTTTTAATCCTAATATAACAAATGTGGGAATTAACACACATAGGCTGTTGTGGATACTGACAGCCTGCGGGTCCACCTAGAAACTAAGAAGTATTGAAGTATTTCCTTCCTTCTACAAAAACTTCTCCCGAGAACTTAAATCTAGCTTCAGTGCTTGTTTCTGATATCTGTCATATTGTAATTTCTACACTGCTAAGCTCTTAGAGATTTTCCAAATAAGTATAAATCTGTATATTCTTCATCTGAAACAATTTTCAGTAGAAAAAAATAGAAACAATAAAACCAAGTAACATAGGGAAATGTGTTAAATGTTATTGCTTCCCACATTATGACTAGAGCTGAGAAGGTGGAACAAGGCAGCCCATATCTGAAGTCTGTTTCTATAATAATAGTATGCAGTCTCATCGTAGCCAGGAGATACAGCTGTTACCTTGCATGCTCTTGAACAGACCAGTCTCATTTAAATAGCAAATGCACTGTAAACTTTAAATAGTAGTTCTTTTTTAAATTTTGTTTTTTAATTAATTTAGGTAGTGGTTTTTAGTAGGTCTCCCAGAGTTCCAGGAGTGTTCTCTGGGAACTTTTTAGAATTGCCAATCCTTGAGCTCCATTCCAGACCTATTAAATCAGAGCTCAGTCATCAGTGTTTGAACAAGCCCTTTACAGGTCCTTCATGAGTCTCAAGTTTGAGAAACACCATTTCAAGATAAATCTAGTAGGAATGAGGGGTGTTCTTTTACATACAGAAATAGCAACCTGCAGGGGTTTGTATATTCAAATGTGGCACTTGGGGCTTTGGGTCACAATTAGCAGGTGCAGTATGCCTGCTCATACAGTACACAGTCTGAAATATCAAGAACCATTGTCTTTATCCTGGTTAAAACAGTTGTCTGAAGCTGTCTCATTTTTGAGATTAGTACATCAGAACTTATAAACTGATCAGGAAAGAACCACCTTTTTGAAATAATCAGCACCAAAAAGATTGGTCAGTTTATACAGCACTCCTTCATTGTAACCTAAAATTCTCACACATTCAAAGGAATCTACAAAATGCTTTTTAGCATTCTTTCAGAAAAAACTATTCAGTATGGTTTAGGAGTGTGGTGTTCTTTGTGAGCCTGTATTTCATTATAGCAATATGTTTCTTAAAAGTTTTTAAACATTCGAGAAGAAAGAGAGTGTGTGTGTGTGTGTGTGTGTGTGTGTGTACTTGTCTAGACAAGTCGACTCTGTTTGCAATTTAATAATTTTATAAAATTGATGCCAGTATATATATTGAGGTGTTTTTAAAGATAGAATCATTTATTTATTTATACATCTTTTTTATTATCATTTTTATTATCATTTTATGATACAGTTCCATAGGCCCTGGGATTTTCCCTTATTCCTTTCCCAATTCCTTCTCCCCTCACTGAGTTCCCCTATATTATTACTATAGTATAATTCTTCATACACAGTCATATGTCCATCATTGTGGGCATGGACAATGCCAGAGTCCAGCATCCTATTCTCAAGATATAGCAGGCAGTTTCATTGGGAGTCTGTCTTTGTTTGGAAGTAGAGATGCATACTACATTATATCTTCCCATCTGGATATGATAGTCTCCATTACAGTTACTGTACATCCCCTTAAATGAAAAGCCACAAAACAAAATCAACAACAGGAAGAAAAAAAAGAAATCAACAATGCCATGAAGTTAAATAACATGCTACTGAATGACTAATGTGTCGCTGAAGAAATGAAAAAAAAATCAAGAATCTTCTTGAAGAAAATGATGCTACTGTATGATCATTGAAGAATTAGAAGAAAGCATTTTCAACAGGTGAAACTAACAAAAAAATAAAAATCCATGAGATATAGTTTCTGCTGCTCTTTGTTGGTGAAATTTATCTTAAGGCAACAGATAGATGAATTTTGTTTTTAATTCAGTCTACTAATCTATGACACTTGATTGATGAGTTTAATCCATTTACATTCAGGGCTAATATCAGTGGGTGGCAATTTGGTCCTCTCTGTTTAGCAATGAATCGTTCATTGTTTTAATCTTCTGTTATTTTACTGGGATGTTCTTCACATTTGCCTTTGGTTTTTGTGGGCACCATTCCTTTTCTCTG